CTCTCTCTAGCCCCCCTCTCGCTCTGCTCGTTCTCCAGCAGCTAATCTCTCTTCCGCCCTCCCCGCTTCGAGTTGCTCACATTGGAGCTCGGCTGCGGGTTGTTGTCGAGACTTTCCGTCAGGGCTCGAAGCTTTCTTTTCTTTTTTTTTTCTACTTCTTTTTATAACCTTCCATTCTTGTTCTCGTCCCCGCTTTTCCCTTCGCCCTCCTTCGCTGGGTGTCGACCAATCACATTCAGCCGTGTATGTGACGTCATCGGACGCTCACCCTCCGCAGAGTGCGTCACAGTACAAAGCGCACGAGCGCTTCCATTCCGCCGAGCAAGTTAGAGCCAAAGCAATAATCCATTATTCATGGTTGAAATGGTTTGAATATGAACGTCATCCTGAAACGATGACAATAACACTTGAGGCTGAAAAATATAGATCATAAGAGTACTGACGATAAATGTTGTCCCTGAAACACATCCAAGCAAGTGAAAGTGGTGAAAGGTCCTTCACGTTGCGATGAGATACAAATGAAATCAAGAGTTGCCATTTTGTAATAACGATGACATTTCTACAGCTCTGCTTTTCCCGAAACACAAATTCCAAAAGACTATCAAATCCATTGATAAATGTACTCATGTAGCTATTCCAAGGTTAGCTACATTAAGTTGTATACTAGGACTGAAACAGTGAAAAGTCCCTGCGTCACAAGAACAAAGAATAGAATGGAATTTTATTGCAGCTGTTCCGGTTTTTCTGGAATTTTCTTGTGCTCCCAAAAATGACCAAATGACATGACTGCAAGTTCTCCCCCTTCCTCAATATACACGCTTACTTTTGAGAAATTGCGGAAGGTAGCTTCGCGCCAGCTTGTTCGCGTGATGTCAAACCTCAAATGGGATTCTCACGTCACTTTCAATTTGTCTTTTGCAAACGCTTGACCGACGGGCAGACCCGTGCCTTTACATCCCGCGCTTCGCCCAGCTGCTGGAATTCGGCGACAAGAACCACGACGTGTCCATGACGGCGTTGAGGCTGGTGCAGAGAATGAAGAGGGACTGGATGCACACCGGACGAAGGCCCTCCGGACTCTGCGGGGCCGGTAAGCGCCGGAAAACGCCATCGCTGCCGTTCCGCCGGTTACATCGAGTCGCCTTGACGTTAACATTAGGAACCGGGGCTTGACCGATCAATCTACTGGCTGATATTAGCCCTTTTCAAATCAGCAAAAATTCTCAGGTACGCGCTTAGTTTTTAAATGTTATGATTTTTTTTAAATTTCCTCCAACATTAACACTTAAGATGAGGATAACGACATTCAAACACTACAAACAAATGGGGATTTTTTTGCCAATTTATGACAAGTGTTGTTGCTGGCTCCGCTTCGTCCTGGTTTCAGTCGTGCCTCACAAACCGACAACAGTTTATCCACATCAACCGCTGCTCCTCCTCCATAGCGCCTCTGACTCGGGGTGTTCCCCAAGGTTCAATGCTTGGTCCTCTCTTTCCTCCGACATTCAGCGTTACGTCTTCACTGCATCCATTGACTCCAATATCCACTTCCCCCTCATCCGTTGTCTAATTAATAAAATAAAAAATTAAAATGAAATATATTTTTTTAAAAATTTAAATTTTGCAAGTACGTTCTATGAAAATTCACTTAAAATCGTGAGAGGATAAAATGAAAATATTAGCGGATTTTTTTTCATTTTTCATGGAAAATGACAAAGATGATAACATTTCCATGAATTTAATCCGAATATTCGGAGAATTATTTTGCACAAATAACCTCGTAAGACATGAATTACCAAATGTAGAAATGAAGCGAAAGGTACGCAAATCCCATTCGAAGTTGTCAGCGACATGATTTGACCGTTGTCGAAGTGATGCAACTGCTTCTTCTTCCTTCATCCTCCATAATCTGCACGTGCTTGCCTGTGTGCGTCCGCGCATGTTCCTGCGTTCTCCCGCCTGAATGTTTAATGTTCATAAAAGATGGAGACGGATGCGCCCGCACGAGAATGTTTGCGGCAAAAGCCCAAAGACAGCCCAAATGAATCTCATTCCATTTCCTGGCCCTGAAACAAGATACTGTACGTGGAAATAATAATTCTGCTAATAACACTGATTTCGATGTTGCGGCCAGGATGCTGTTTGTGGCGCGTGCGCACAGGTGCAAGGAAGTGCACGCACGCACGCACGCATGCACAAAGTCGCTTTTAGCCGCTCAGCTGCTCTAATGAAGTTTACGTAAGCGTTCTCCTTCAAGGCGCGCTCGGCTGCTCATTACATAACACTTGGACTTCTACATGCACACATACACACCTACCCCTTGGGGTGAGGGGGGGGTGGAATCGCCAAAACATTTTGAAAAGGATGAATATCATTTCTGGTCAATCAGTCAAGCCCCAGTTAGGAAAGTATTTTGACTTTGAGCAAAAGCAAGCAGACACTGACTAGACACTTCATCAGCTCCACAATTGTGTGTGTGTGTGTGTGTGCGCGCGTGTGTTTGTACCGCTCCTGGTCGCCGCTCGCCTGCACGACTTTCGCCGCACCACCAAAGAAATCATCGATGTGGTCAAAGTGTGTGACAGCACGCTGAGAAAAAGGTGGGTGCAATGCATGTATGCAGCTGTTAAAAAGTCCCCCCAGCACCCCCCCCAAAAAAAAAAAAACAATAGATACAAGCGCATTTTCCCTTCAGATAGTCTATTGGCGCCTCTTCTTTAGAGCGCCTCGTTGTCGGCCGTGAGTGCGTGCATGCCACACACACAAAGGTGGACTAGTGACGGGGGTGTGGGGGTTGTTTAGTTTAAAGCCCAGCTTGTCAGTGTGTGTGTGTGTGTGTGTGTGTGTGTGTGTGTGTGTGTGTGTGTGTGTGTGTGTTAGACTGGTGGAGTTTTCGGACACGCCCGCCAGCCTGCTGACGGTGGAGGAGTTCATGAAGGTGGACTTGGACCAAGAGTGCGATCCTCCCTGCTTCACAGCCGGACTGCGTAAGAAGAAAGCACAGCAGGCACGTTCGGCATTGACTGCTTACTTGTTTTAGCTAGTCGCAAGCGCAAACAAAGTTTTGAGCGCAACAAACAAACACCACAGTGCCTCAGGAGATGTGTTTTGCTCAGTCAAATGATGTCACCCACTGTCTTTTTTTTTTTAAATTTTTTAACATACGATGGGCCACTTCATTCAGTTGCTTTTGGCTGCATTTTAGACAAGTGATGGTCCCGTTGTTGTCGTTTCAGATTGAGGCGGAGCTGAAGAAGAAGATGGATGACATTGAAGGTATGACGAACGCCAAAGTCAAGTCAACAGACAAAAGACGTCACTGGGGGAAATCTTGCAGGTGAGATCGAAAGCTACCAGGACCAAATCGACTCTCAGCTGGAAAGCAGCCGACCCTGCCTGCGAGGAGTTTACGCCGCGTACGCCAAACAAGGTCGGCGTTTGCGTTGATTTGTTTAGCGAGTCAAGAATCGACAATGAAATGTTATCGTGAAAAACCGAAGAAAACGTGTTGAAATGTTTTTGCGGTGAGGAGGCTGTCAACGTGTCAATACAAATGTGCAACACTGTCCATGCAGACTTGCAGAAGCACGTGAACGAGGCCCTGGGCGCGTCTCCCGAGGCGGAGGAAGAGGACGAAAAGGAAACGGAGGAGGAAGATGACGTTGTGAAGGCGGTGGCCAAACACTTCGGCAAAGATCTCGCCGAGCTGACCCTGGAGAAGCTCATCGAGCTGGAGCAGATCGGAGACGGCGCTGACGACTTGGAGCGGGAGCTGCGGGGGCCCGCGAGGAAAGGACCCACGCTGGCGTCCATCTTGGGGGCCAGCCTGCCCACCGCCGCTACGCTGGGCCTCCGCAACTCCGAAGGAAGCCGCGCCAAAGGGGAACAAGGTGACGGTAAGAAGCCATGTAGCCTTGGCTCCAAGCTATTCATGTGAATGAAGAATCCCCCCGCCCCAAAAAAAAAAAAAAAAAATCATACGTCTTCAGAAATCACACCATTGACTTTTGTGTGACTACAAAATGGCCGCCACATCCATGACACGTCGCTCTGCATTGATTCATCTCTCTTTCCTCTCTTTCGAGCGCTCTCTGTATTTATATTTATATAACTACAGTTTCTCATCTATCTGAAAAAGATGAAATGGGTGTACTGTCGATAAAGTCTTGCCCATTTGTGCCACATATGGCGCCTTAACAGATGGTAGCGTGTGTGTACATCTGTTGGCATCAATGTTAGCATCTCCGAGTTTGTTTGCCTCGATCATGGAGTGGCCGTCTCCAATTGGGTTCGCGTTCAATTGTGTGTAGCCACCTCGAAATGTGCACGTACCTACAAAACTTTCGCATCTCCAAGTGGGTCAGCATCGATGAACGTAACGTGTTAGCATTTAAAAGTCTCTTCGTGTCGCAGGATGTGTTAGCATAGCATCCATTTTTTTAAAAAGTTAGCATCTTAAATGAAGCGCGCATCTTCGGTTCGCCCGCTCAGCTAACGAGGCTATTGAAGTGTTTATCGAGCTGTGAGCGTGAAGCCGCCGGTTTGATTCCCTGTGAGTCATGCCCATAAATATTGATTCCTGATGCACTTCCTGTCTGGGCGAGCCAGAGCAGCTGTAAACTACCTCTTAGTAACCCGTAATGCCTCCCGTAATGTCTTCTTTTGCTCCCGGTGGACCCCCACGTCCCTTCTTTAGTCTCAGTGAGCTCATGCTAATGCTAGTACCTGAATGTTGATGAATGAGCGTGACTCATCACAGCTGCAGATTACAGACATTTTGTGCATGCGTGCGTGAGGGATGGAGTGAGAGACTGTGTGTGTGTGTGTGTGTGTGTGTGTGTGTGTGCGTGTGCGTGTGCGTGTGTGTGTGTGTGTGTGTGTGTGCGTGTGCGCGCGCGCACGTATGTCGGAATAGTTGTTCCGATCGTATTTTTGTCGTTGTTGTGTGTTCTCTTGTATTATTGTTTTTTTTGTTTTTTTTTTTATGTACTATGACACAAGCTCCCTTTTAGTTGTGTATGAAGTCAGGAGTAGCTTGCTGCTAGCTTAGTCTTTGACCGCCCGT